TTTTTTTTTTGCAAAAACGGTAAATTGCAAATATCTCAAAAACGGTTCCATAGAATTAAAAATAACCTTGATTTTCGGAATCAGGGGGTGATTTTACATAAGAATTTCATAACGGCGTTTCTGGTAAAGAGAAAAAGTTGAAATTTGTGGTCCAGTGATATTAGAAAATACTAATCCAATTGCGTTTTATATCTTTTTTATTATCTTCAATAAAACCACGGGTGCGCTCAATCGAAATCCCAGTGGCGCAACTGGGTCTCTTCACATACTTTCGTAAATAAGAATTTAAATCTTAGCATCGATGTTATTTTAAAAATTCAAATTCGCTAAATAATTTGAATATTCAAAAGCAGCCTACTGAGATTTGAAAATATTAACGTAAACGGTATTAATACATACATACATTCGCAAATATGAATGTATGTAAATCTTAGCATTAATGCTATTTTAAAAATTGAAATTCGCTCAATGCTTTCAATAGTCAAAGAAGAGCCTACTGAGATTTGAAAATATTATAGTCAGGGTTATTAACACATACATGCGCAAATATGAATCAATATCTTAGCACGCCTATGGAATGTGCCACGCCCTGTTTTATAAACTCATTTATATATGCCATACTATAAGCGCCTACCAAAGACATGCCTGCATACCGAATTTCAAGTTCGTGGGACTTATGGTTCCGAAGATATATTCAGGGCTGTTGTAGAATCTGACCCTTATCGGAATCGGAATTTAAACCGATGAAAAATTCCCATTGGTGTCTTGCATTCCGATATTATCGGTTTTCTGTTCGAATCGGAAATAAAGTCGGTTTTTTGTGTCATAGGAACCAATTTTATCGGTTTGCTTATCGGAAACAAACCAAGCAGTACATCGCTGTCAGAATTGTATTTTCGTTTTGTTATTTCGCATTCTGCAGGTTCTTATTTTGCTTTATGTGAGTATATTAATCAATAATTCATAGAAACATTAATTTTAAATTTTAATATTAGGGGAAAACACAAGAATAGCGTTCAAAATTCCATAATCGTGGAGTTTATGGAAAATAACCCCGACATCGCTAAGGGCTACACAAAACGAGATAAGGCACTCGTTAACGCTCTTTGGCAAGAACTATCAAATTCTTTAAATAGCGCAGGCCCACCCCAAAAGGACGCTAATGGGTGGAAGAAGGTATATTGCATATTGTAGCCCCAATGAAAGTTCTACTATTTTATTGTTTTTAGGCATGGACTGAATGGAAAAGTGAGATAAGAAAAAAATTATCACACAACAAAAATGAAGCTCGAGCGACTGGTGGTGGGCCCTTCACTAAACATCAACTGACGCAATTGGAAGAATCAATCGTCCGTATATGTGGAATTGAACGTTCAGTTTATGGTGTTACAGGCGTTGCAATTGGTCACGTCGAACCTTCAGATGACCTTATCGAAGAAGTACTCGATGAAACGAACAGCGATATTCCGTCAACGTCATCAAAGCGACAAATGGAGCCTTCCAGTATTGGAAGCACTCCAAAAAGGCCAAGAGTGGAGAGCACAGCAGAGAGTTTAAAAAATTTTTTGAAAGAGGACAACGAAATAAAAATGGAAATGAATGAGAAATTGGATGAGCTAATAAAAATTGGCAATGAAAACGCAAAAAGTTTTACACATATTCATCGAGCAGTCGAAGACATGGTAGAATGTTGTACGCAAATATTAACCGTCATGGAAGAAAAGAATCAAATAGAAAAACAGCGACTAGACCTCAGCATCAAAAAATTTGATTTCCAAAGACAACTAAATGGTTATAACTAGGGTTGTGTGCTTAATTTTTTAGTTAAAAATTTAATAACTTACCGAATTACTTTTAATTTTTCACTAATCAAAACGGAATATAATCCTTTATCACAAACGAATTTATTCGAATTCGATTGGAGTGTATTCATAGTCAAAATTAAGTTGATGCTTAAAGTTAGTTGCAGCTTTTTGGCTTAAATTTTAATGGGTTATCGGTCAAAAGAGCTACATCTAACTTTAAATATCTACTTAATTTTGAATATTACTGCGCCCCATTGATAATATTTTCATTATTCAAATACTTTAAATACCTTATTTTGTTTTAAATAGTTCCTTTTCCCAGCTTTTCATATTTTTTGCATTTTAAACATATGTACATATATATGTATGTACCTACAAGCATAGGCAGTGGTTCGCAGCCAAAATGATAAACCCGACAAAATGTTTATTTTGTTAATATTCACTAAGTTTTTCTTAGCAGCTGAACTTGCACCTTATTACTACACTT